TTTTCGGTAGTCTGTGTGTCCGGGATGTCTTTGAGGTTCCCAGCAAGTGGAGCTTGTTCTTAAGTCCCTGGAATCCGGGAGAACACTGTCGCTTTAAATACCCAAAATGGTCAAGCTGCTTGTAAACATTCAAAATCGCTGCGCTCTCCAGACAGGCAAAAGTCCAGAGCTCAGCTCACCTTCCTCTTCACTACTTCCCCTTTTATTTACCAGCCACCAGAGCAGTCCTCTGTGCAGTTCCTGGGTAGCAGCGCTGATTTTTAGGTTAATTCTTAGGTCCTACCACCACTCAGCAATATTCAAGCTGTCTGTGCCATCAGGATCACTGCCATCCTGCCAGACCGCAGCTCTGTATGTCTCCTTTTTTGGTATTTTCAAGCAAATTCTTCTGCTAGTTGGCGTTTACTCCACTTCTATATCCTTCCCTTCAAAGCTCAGGGGTCCAGGGTTATCTTCTGTATCTGTGTTAATTGGTTCCCCTTTTCTTTGTTGAAAAGGGTTTGTGCAGTCTTTCTGCCTATTCTGCCATCTTACTGGAACTCCATTATGGGGTCTTTTGATGACAGATGTTCTTAGGTTCAATGCAGTCCAATTTATCAATCTATTCATGTAGGGTCAATGCTTTGTGTATCTTCATTAAGAAATGTTTCCATACCTCAGTCATAAAAGTCTTTTATTTTCTCCTACAACTGAAAAAATTTTGCCATTCACATTCAAGACTGTAACCCACCTGGAATTGGATCTTTACCTATGCCATCACAAAAAAAAATGAATTTTATTTTAATCCTCACAGATACCTAATTACCCTACTCCCACTTCTGATCTATAATATGTCTCTCCCAGTCTTCTAGGCTGTCTAAATATATGCTCCTTGGCTCCAATTATGCTCCTTTGGTCTACTGGTCTATCCCTACACCAGTACCACCCCCTCTTTATTACTATATTAAGTGTTGCTACTGGCAAAATGAGAACTTTCTCCCCCATACAATCCTACGCTATCATCTACTTAAGGAGTATCTTGACTAATCTTGGTCCTTGCACATCCATAAATTTATAAATTAGCTTATCAAATTCCTAAAAATCTATAGGGCTTTTGAATGATGTTTTACTGAACCTGTAGTTAATTTGCAGAGAATTGAGATATTAATGTTATGAACTTCTACTCTATGAATATGGTACTTGTGGTGGTTAAGTTTGTGTGTCAACTTGGCTGGGCCTGGCTGAGTGGCTGAGCAGCTGGATGTAGTATTCTCCACGATGAGAATGGTAATCAACTCCATGGTGCAATCTACTTTGAGCAGCTGAGTAGCTGCCTTTGAGTATGTGGTCTGTTTCCCATATATAAGAAACAGCTTTGGGAATGGTCTCTAGCTTGTGGCACACTTGAGGGGCTTCGAGGAGCCTGGCACTTGGAGCTTGGACTTAAAGCCTCCAAATTATAAGAATAAACTCCTGTTTGTTAAAGCCATCCCATTTGTGGTATATTCTTGTCAAGAGTGGCACTAGGTAACCAGAACAGAATATGGTACTGAGAGAGTGGTGTGCTTCTCTGACAAACACCTAAAATGTGGAAACAGGAGTGGAGAGCATCCTTGACCTGCAACCCTGGCAGAGAGACCCCAGCGTGTGGCATGGGAGATGGCAGAAGCAAAGTCACGAGACTGGCAGAGAGATACTGGCGGAGACCAGCATGAGAGCCCAGCATAAGAGATGGCAGTAGCAGAGCCCAGAGACTGGCATTAAACAGCAACAAGCTTACCAGCCCACAGAGGAGAAAGCCAAGTGCTATTGGGTAGGTCACTTCCTGGCAGAATGGGTTGCCTTTGGGCATTAATTGGTAGAAGAGACCGGGCATGAAATGGAGTAGCAGGTTGGCTACTTGCCCACAGAGCAAGAAAGCTAAATGTCCTTTGGGCAGGAAGATTTCTGACGGAGTGGGATGCCGTCAGGCATTAATTGGCAGAAGTGGAGAGACCAAGGAAACAGGAAGCAGAGCTGCTTCAGCCTCAAGGGTAGGACCATGGCCTTTGGAGGAGGAACCACCACAGCCCCCTAGGTTTCAAAAAAACAGACCTTCACCAACTTAGTTCTGGAGTGTTGGGGCTGCTTGTTCATGTGAGCTAGAGGGATGGAGTCATAGTCACTGCCCAAGAGTGAGGGGGCAGGGCTGCTATGCCCAAGAGGGAGAGGAATGGGGCCCTCCAGGCCAAGGGGGTGAGATCATCACTCAGAAACTAAGGAACTGGAGTCACCCAGTGAAGAGATCTGTACAGGTGCCAAGTTGAGTGGCTGGGCAGCTGGATGTAGTATTCCCCATGATGAGACTGGTAATCAACTCCATGGTGGATTCTACTCTGAGCAGCTGAGTAGCTGCCTATGGGTATGTGGTCTGCTTCCCGTATATAAGAAACAGCTTTGGGAATGGTTTCTAGCTTATGGCACACTTGAACCCTGCATGCAGCAGTGTCATTGTTCAGCAGCCTGCCATGCTCTGCTGACCTTGGGACTTTCAATGGACTTAAATTAATGGTCTGCCATGTGGTTTGGTAACATCGAGACAGTGCCATTTTATTTGTCACCTTTGGGCTTGTTAGCCTCAGCAGCCAGTAGCTGCCTGAGTGAAGAAATGCCTCTAGCTTCAATGGGCTGGGAGCAAGAAGCAGAGCTGAAGCCCAAGGTCGAGGGGCTTTCACACAGTCTCTAAAGCCTGGCACTTTGAACTTGGACTTAAAGCCTCCAAATTGTAAGAATAAACTCTTGTTTGTTAAGGCCATCCCATTTGTGGTATATTCTTGTCAGAGCAGCACTAGGTAACCAGAACAGTATTTTTCTCCATTTTCTTATTTTCCCTTGCCAACTTTCAGTAAAGTTTTATAACTGCCTCCAGATTTTACACATTTTTTGCATAGTAGGACAGTCCTTTAGAATATATGTTTTATATTCCCAAGTATTTTGTTGGTCTGTTGGTATTACAAATAACATTTTTAAAACTATATTTTGTTTGTTTCTGATGTATAGAATACCATTGATTCTTATATATTGATTTCATAATCAACCACCTTACTAAACTCTTTTCACTTTGTAGAATTTCTTGGTTTTCTTTGTAGATAATCATGAGATCTATAAACAATAACTGCTTTTGTCTTCCTTTCTACTCATAACTTTTATTTTTCTTGTTTCTTTGCATTAGTTAAGATTTCTAGTATTCTGTTGAAGAGAAGCAATGATTTTAAGCTCTTTTGTCTTACTCCTAATTTTAATATGAAAATTAACATACCATTAGTTAAATTTTAACATCCCATTAGTTAAAATAATATTTGCAACAGGTTTTTGATAGATATTGTTTGTCAGACTAAAGAAAATACCTTTTTCGACTTTGCGAAGATTTTTTTTTTTTTTTAATTTTTCAAGATGGAGTTGGTTTACTAATATTTTAAGATTCTTTCATCCATGCTCATGAGTAAGAAGGGCCTTGGCCCCACATGTTAGAGCTTCTCCTCATATTTTCTACATCTTCTAATATCTCTTCCATGTTTTCTAATTCATTGACTGTCTTTGCTACACTCTGGATAATTCCTAGTGCTCTATCTTCCAGTTACGTGATTTCCCTCAATTATGTCTACTCTTCTATTTAGCTTATATATTGGATTGTTTATTCTAATGAACATGTTTTCTATTTCTAAAACTTCTAATTATTCTTTTTAATGCCTGGGTATTTTTGATAATCTCTCTCTTGAATTGTGCTCTTTTTTTTTTCTTTTCTTTTCTTTTTTTTTATGATTTCTTCTTTAAACTCTTCAAATATTTCATTTGGAATTTGTTGTTGTTGTTATTTGCCATCGAGTTGGCCCCGACTCATAGCGACCCCTCCTTGGGTTTCCGAGGCAGTATCACTACGGAAGTAGGAA